TGTTTTATAGCCTGTTTGCAGATTGGAAAAAATGACGCGAAAAACGATATAAAATTTTCGCTTCCCCGTTTTACACGCGAAAGATCGTAACACGTCGTGGTATAATGATAAATCATGTGTACGCACGTCTCTCGTGTTTTCGTTGTTTCTAACGCGGAATTTAATTTTTTGCATCTTTTTCACGGTTACGTTCATTAAGTACATTTCCGCACTGGGACATAGCGGTTTTTCACGCGTTCGTACTCCTCAAGAAGTCGAGAACAAGGCCGCAAACTCGGCGTAGCGAACTTAATTGTTTTCACACGCTTCGTCGTTCGTATGTTTTTTCGTTTTTCATTCTAGAATTTAGAAGCAACTTTTTCATTTGAAGAAGAAGAGAGAGAGAAAAAAAGTTTCCCTTTAGAAACTACTGTGATAATTTTTATGTGATTAATTTTATTTAGACAGACTATATCTGACACGTCATACTTACATTCCCCATTCATTTTAAAAAAAAGTTTTATTTCATAAGCTCGGCGCTTGTGTCTGGAATAAAAAAGTCGTACTGTTAAACAGAAAATTAAAATACGAAAATACGGTTATACTACTCAAGTATTGCAGAATATGTTAATAGGGAATCGTATTTCCACTGAAGGGCACGAAACTGTCAGCAGATTGCGCCATAAACGAAATTTGGAGCTGACCGGCCAAAGAGATTAAATTCGATTAAACTGAGCTACGCTATGTTGCACAAAGGCTAGAGAATTGCTATCAAATATCTGCTAAACTAAAGACTACGCAAGATTACACCTTGCAAGTGATAATAAATTGGAGCTTTACCTGAAATCTGTGACGTATTAATGTAGTAAAAAGTCATTTTTTTAATGTTACTCGTTATTTTTATTTTATTATATCACACACACACATATTATAGATACTATAGTAGTATAATGTATACTAATGTATAGTGTTATACATAGTAGATACTATAGTAGTATATTATACTGTACATATAATAATTTCTTTAACAATTTATTTTAAACGAAAATTAATGTTCCTTTTACGACAGTGAAATTTTTCAATTTCCGCGAGCTGTGATACTTCCATCATTTTATAAATCATAAGCAGCTTGACAAATGGTAGCAAATGTCATGCTACTAACAAATCATTTTTAATTTCGACCGTCGTCGAAAATTGATTTTCTAATAAATCAGTATTGTCGATTGATAATCCTTTTGTCCCCATTCGAACAGAAAATATTCCACGGAAACTATATTGGCAATATTGCCAACGATATGACGTTGTCGATTAAATTGTAATCATTGTCGAAACAAAAACCGTTCTGTCATCCTATTAAACATATACCCAATTATTTTCCTGTTTTAATTCGAAGTGAAATATTATTGTATATCGGTCGTGGAAATGTCTGAATAACAGAGTGTCCAAATGATGGAAGTTCTGCTGTATTTCAGCTTATTATTCTTTCTCATCGATGCATACTCTTTGCCTCTCAGAAGGCAATCTGTGCCTTTTTTTTTTTGAAATAAAATTGAAAACATTTTCATCAGGAAGATTTTATTTTCATCACGTAAGAGCTTCGATTAATTAATTCGTCCAATTCCAAACAATTGAACTTTGAGGTAAAAAAATATTTTAACGTCAGAAGATATTTTGCTATGAAAAATATCAAGGATATGCGTTATATGTTTAGAAAAATAGATGTGACAGACCTTTAGACCAAGGCTAGGCATTATCGAAATAAACTTTTATTCAAATAATTGTCCAAGCAAAACAACTATTCCATTTTTTACTCGTTCTCTACGTCTTATCTCAGACGATACTAGCGTATTTGAAAAAAAAAAATTATTTTATTACTTGTAATTTTATTTGAAATGAAGATATTTGTTACTTGATTTCACCAAGAAAATAATTTTCTTTTTATATTGTCACATAGAAACTCTATTCTAACATATATCATATCTATACGACATGTATAAATATAGTTACCATTTTAATTTATCTTTCGAGTAGGAATTTATTTCTTATCTTATTTGAAGTAATCATTTGTTCTTTCTATCTCAAATAATAAGTGTGCCCAATCCTGTTTTAGATAAACGTACTTAGCTACATGGTGATAAATATAAAGAAATTATTAACATAACAAATGACACGATATTTTGTATAAAATATGTCAAATTGACACACAAGGGATGAATAAGAATTATATCACTCTATGCATTGATCTTATCCAATTCTACTTGTTTCTCAATAATGTCAAGGTTAGCGGATTATTACGTAAACTATGGATTTTAAATATCCTGGTTGCAAATAATCAAAGGGATTGGAGCTTCATGAAGATCGTACACGGGCAAAGTGATTCGTCCTATCCAATTAGTAGGAAACCATTTACACGGTTGAACTAAATAAAAAAAAAACGTAGTAAATCACTGTGGAATATACAGAGGTATATTTGAATAACATCATCTTCGACGATATAAAAATGGCCATACGAAATTATTTGACAAGTGAGAGTGTACGTAAAAATGAATTTTAAGAAACTATGAAGAATTATATATGATTGTATCAACCAGTTTCTGTTATGTTTCGAATGTTTATTCAATTGATGTTTTACAAAAATTTTGAAAGTCCCGGCTGCAAAATTTACTTGAAACTGCAAGGAAATATTCAAATATTCGAAAATTTATAATCGCAAACACTCAACACTCGTTTCTCAAATGAGAATCCACCCGGCAACACAAACTCGCAGAACACACTACTTTGGTCGATAAATGGTACGATTAATCAACACTACGGAAACACATTTTTATCAGCAAGCTTCTCGCTCGTTGATCCTCTTCTATCGAAGTTTCAACATATTCGAGTTTTCTCTAGCAGCAATAAAGTTTTTAACGATACAACTTTTGCCAATGAGAAGCAAAGATTTGTAATCTTCTCGAACGACGAGTGCTTGACATTGAGAAACGTAGAGAACTCGATATATCTTCGCTTCTTCTTCTTCTTCTTCTAGCATCTTGTAGCTAGCATGAGATTTCATTTATCGATCGGAACTGTTCATTGCATCATATGTATTACGTTTTACATTTTTCATCATTCATTACGTTTGTCAAGAAACAAAGCGTTCGTCGATAATTGTTCATTACAGGCTGTTAACAACATTGAATTCTGTCCGAAGGAATTGCCGTTAATTTAAGGTTCTCCGCTCGTCGTACAGGGTATTAAGTAATTATTTACGACGTAACGTTCAAGTCCAGTACGGACTTAATGTCACACGTGAGTTACGTCGAGACAATAGTCTGAGATTTCTATTTTCTCGCTTGTCGTTTATTCTTTGCCCGGAGCATCCGTTCGAAATCAAAGGAAAATTAAACTGTTATTAAAGAATCATCATATTATGTGAAAATTACTGTTACAAACTGTAATTTCATTATTAATATTTATTAAAATATGTACATACATTGTGATATATTATAACATATAAAATTATAACTTTACTGGAAAATATATAAATATATTTTAATATATGTATTAATAATATTATTATCTATGTTATTATTATTTAATTAGAGATATAGATACACGTAGATATAGATCTGTAAATTATATTTATAATACAATTAAATTTATAATATTACAGTTATATAATTTATTTAAATTACATTGAACACAGAGGTATACGAAATAAAATAAATGTAAAATATCAGACATTTTTAACACGTTGTTGCCGATGTAACAGATTTAAATTTTACTTTGCATAAATTAACATTTTCAATCTTTTTATCTAAAAAACGGAAAGCTCCTTATTTTACAGATAATATATATCGAAGCTGTAATTGGTGCGGAACTCCATTGCGCTGGTATTATTTTAATTGCGCAGAAGGACGGAGGCTGCTCTTTAAAACGTGACACCTCGGTAGAATCGATGTTCCCGCGTGACAAATTGGCGTCGAACGAAGCTTCCGGTGCGAACGTCACCAGGAGCACGGGCACACGTCCCGAGTTCATTACGTATTTATAAAGGGCTGTCGATTCAACGGGTGGTCCGGGTAAATTTAAATTGTAAATAGGCGCATTGCAGATTTCAAGTAAAAGCATCGATAAGAGCGAGGATGTGACATAAGCGAGAGACCGGCAAAGGGAAACATTCATTCGTTTCATGTATTCATTTGTTAAGTTTGAATGTCTTCGATGTTGAAGATGTTGAAACCAAGTGTGTATTCTACTTTAACCCATTCGAGACCGGAATCCAACTGTAAGACAATCCCCAAGCTCTGAACGCCCTGATAATTTTTGTTTTTCGAATTTCAAATCGAAGGCAATCTTAATTTTTATATTTCATACTTTTATAGCGCAAAATTATATATTATGAAGTTTAACTTTGTTGTAAGTTATGTATTATAAAGTTATATTATACTAAGTTATATCGTACGTAATTTATATAAATTTTGAAAATAACTGTATACATTACATATTACGATAATATACATTATATTATTGTAATATGTGTAGTAATTTTATATTGAATGAAAATATGGAAGTTAATATGATACACGAGCTTTTCAAAAGCCAAACTGATCAACTTTACTTTTCATTAATTCCTTAATTTCATCAATTACAGAATTAACATTCAATTTTCAAGGAATAAATCACTTATTTTCATTTTTATTTATCGGGAGAAAATGACACAAGTAATAATAAATTCTGAATTAAATTTGAAAAAGACTCTTTATAATATCGTTATTTTTTTTTTTTAATATTTTTCGATCTATAGAGTTGATCAATATGGCTTCCTAATGATTCATATATATATATTGTATATACGTTACCACATAAATTATATGTAAAATACAATGTATAATATGTATATTATACCACATATAATATAATGCAGTATTTCTTAGCCTGTGGTACGCGGACCTCCATGGGACCTCCATGAGACCTCCATGGGACCTCCATGGGATCTCACACACATAAGTGAACAACTGAGAGAAAGCAGGTTTACCATATTTTACTTAAAATAGAAGAAAAAATAATGGTTTCAAATAATGAATTATTTCAATTTATAACGTCCAGCTAAATAAAATAACATGTTATCCAATTAGCAGATAATATATTAATGTTTGAAAGTGTGCCTCTTGAGGATTCGCGATAACGAAAAATCATTTAAGAGGAGTTCGTGGTGATCAAAAGGTTAAGAAACGCTGGTACAGTGTACATTTTTGTCTATGGAATAATTATGAATTTCTTTCGGTCTCGAATAACATTAAAAAGAAACGCACCAAGTCCTGATGATCAGGCAATCGAAGAAAGCGGAGACACTCTCGTTGTGAGAAGACAATACATTAAAATTCGAATGTTGATTGACTTTCAGGACACGCTCTATTGTTCGTGCTACGCTCGAATCGATTGCTCTCTGTCTTCTGTTCGTTTTTTTTTTTTCTCCCTCCGTCCGAAGGAATTTTTGGCAGTTGCGCGCTAGAAACATGAAACGTGCAGAGCCAGGGACACCAAGGGAACACAATTTCTCATAATTCGGCGTCGCAATGCGTTCCCTTGTATTCTCTCGTGACCCGATTCGTTCTCAAGAAAGAAGAGAACAAAAGCAAAAAGCAAGAGAACGATCGTTTGCGTGTTGCTTTTACTTATCTTTCTCGAGAGATAACGTGAACCGTTTCCAGCCGACAACCATCGTTTTCCCGAATTTCTCCCTCCTTTTGTATTAGCGGCATTGCCATGTTTTTGCTCTCTTTAAGCTATCCATCGAGGCAAGGCGTTCTATTAAATCGACCAATTTCTCTTATTGTTAAGCTTGTAACTTCGAACTAACATGTTTACATATAAAGAGAGTTATTCATCTAATCTGAATGTAAATACCTAGATAGATTTCTAGATTTAATATTGCTACGCGATACGTAAAAATTACCTTTTGATCATGAAGTTACGTCATTCGATCATCGAGGGGCCTTTTATGTACGAGTAAATTTACTCTGAACTCATTACCGATTATAACAGTTTATTTGATCGTATATTAAAGATATTTAAAAGTAACACTCTTCGTGTTCTTTTTATTACATATATATTTATATACACCTGTAATGTATGTATTGTTATATATTTATTTCTTGTGTCATTATATCCCTGATCAAAAGTATCCCTCTTATATTATTTATATTGTTTATAAATTGTTACAGCATAAAATTATATATTATAAGATATACGAAAAGGTTATTGTAACGTTTCGATTTTGTTTTGTTATTCAGTTATTACAAATGATTTATAAAAAGAATAGAGATCTGTGTATGATGAGAGTATTACAAGACATTTTCTGCTGTTTGAATTAATCTTTCTTCCAGATGGTATCATACAAATCGGTACGTCTCTGAGAGAATGTAGGTATTTGAGCTCTTGCTTTTTCAACAAGCTTCAGATCTGAAAGAAGATAGAACAAAGTAATAATTTAATTAATTTAGTGATATTAATCAAAATTTTAATTTTCAAAGATTTATTATAAGAAATAATTAACATTGGAACTACTAGTCTTTGATACCGAAATACTTTACGTATGAATTATTACAATTCAAATAATAATAATCAAAGTAAATAGATTTATATAATCACTGTCTCTGTCTCAATGGAAATCAATATTAGTTTTGACAAAGATATCCAGTATTGAATAAAATATCTCAATAATTTTGACAATATTTTTCAGTAATTAAATTAAAATGTTGAACGTGACGTTTTTGGAATTTATAGTTCTGACTATTAAAAAAAAAAAAAAAAAATAAAAAGAATAAAACGAGAGAGAAGATAGTTAAGCAAAGATGGATAAATCAGCGTGAATTAAAAATAGATTGGATCACGGATCTGTCATTTCCAGTTTTAAATTGGCAATTACCGATATCGGCGACTACCATAGTCTCTTGAGTTTCCAGATCATGAAGAATTTCTCCCCATGGACTTGTCAACTGTGTATGAGCCCATGCGACGTAACTGGCTGAAGGAACACGAGCCGGTGAAATACCAGCGACGTATAATTGATTGTCATTCGCTCTGGAACGTTGAAGTAACGACCAGTGCAATGGTCCGGTGGTCATATTGAATGCCGCCGGATATATCAGCATCTGGCAACCTAATCCGGAGGAACGGGAAATCATCGAATATTAATTAAACTCCTTAATCTGGTCTGCATTCCATAATTTATGAATACACGATTATACTTTTAATTCTTTAATTAATTAATTAATCATTCCATTTTCAGATACACACGTAGCAAGCATCAAATTCTTTTTATACATGTATGTATAATAGAATTGGAGACTATGTTGTACAATAGAACCTCCCATATCCGAATTGTGAGAAAGATAAATTGATATTTTTTTTCATTTATTCCAATATTTATTTCAATGTATTTAAGAATATATCTTTTTTAATAAACTACCTAATTTTAATCATCAATCAGCTTCGACCATCTTGTGTTTCAGCATAAGAAAACACATCCTCATCATTTTCGTTTGTTGTTTCTTTGTTACTTGTAAATGAAATGTTGATTTATTACGGAATTAATAAAATATTTGCATAATGGAAACTCGGATGTGAGAGGTTTTTTATTTAGATTATATTACAAATTATTATAATTATTATAAATACATCATATTTTTAAACAATAATATAGCCTATGAAAATAGATAGAATATCATTGACTAGTAGAACACAATTGAATAAATAGAAAGATTATCAATTCTCTGTCGGTCATATTGTTTCATTAAGTTACTGTACCTTTGTTCCGATAAATGCGCGCCATTTCCTCGAACCTAATGTCATAGCAAATACCAATACCTATTTTGCAGCCCTTCACGTCGAACATCGTCAGAGAGTTACCAGAACTGAGTGAATCACTCTCACGGAAAGTAAATTTATCAGGAATATCGATGTCGAACAAGTGTATCTAATAAACATAAAAGAATGAACGCAATTTAATATGAAAATTATCATGGATCAACATCCAAAATTTAATTTTCTTATTTCCTGTCTTTGTTGCTTTTTAAATCTAACAATCAAAAACATTTTTATCATTTTATTTTATTATAATGTTCTACTATAACTTCATAATACTAAAGAAGAAAATTTTTAAAAAGTAATTAAAATTAAGTTTCATTTTCAAGTGAAAAATATATGTTTCTTGTGTCGTAATATGATTTCTGCAGAGATTGGAACTTATCAGTTCAGACGATATATGTTTCTAAAAAAATCATTTTCTGCCCCAACGTTTTCAGTTTTACAACCACAAAGAAACATATTGCTTACCTTCCGGTGCTTCGCTATCAAAGCTCCATCGGGACCCCAAACAGTGCAAGTATTGTATAATTTATCACCTTCTCTTTCAGGTATCGTACCACCGACCACATAAACGTTGTTCTCTTTAGCTGCTTTCGATAAAGCGATACTCGTTTCTCCGTCGGGAATACTCTCGGCATATTTTGGAAAATATTCTGCGAGAAATAATAGGTTTTTTTGTCTTAACAGTAACTTATACTAATAGAGATTCAAATTTTTGTTAATTCCGCTAACAAGAACTTCAAATCAAATTCTTATCAATTTGTTTTTCAAATTAATAAAGAAAATCTTATATTTCGATTTATTTGAACGATGTTTAATGTTTCAATTATTTTTTACGATTTTGTATATGATAAATTTTTGTTAAAAGATGGAAAATAAAAAATGAATATTCAAAAGTATAAATTGTACAATTCGTGTCGGTATAAGTTGTTTGTCACTCAACGACTTCGTCAGTATCTTTCGAAACGTAAACTTACGATTAATCTTTACTTAACTTATTCAATTTGTAGTGTTAAATTGGTTATTTGTAAGAAATATATTTATATAAAAGGAAAAAAACATTATAATTATAAAAGGTAGAAAGTCTTACATTCTACTAACAACCTTTATGGAAATATAAAAGATAAGATAATTTATCTACTTTTATTCGTTTCTTAAATAGTTATTATAAACGTACTAAATTATTAAAAAAAGATATTATTACCTATCCCATATGGTGAATTAAAACATTCGGGAAGAGCGATGACATCAGCATTTTGCTTTTTCGCGCTTGAAATGTAGGAAACTGCTCGCTCTATATTTTTAACTTTCACTTCATTCACTTCAGGCTGTATTAATCCCAAGCGAAATGCTAAAATGTTGAAAAAATTAAACGCATTGGATTATATACTTCTCAAACTTTATCTGTAAATACCTTATGCAAGACCAATTAAATACTTACTCGACATCGTTCGCACTACTTGTTTGGCAATATTCGTAAATATCATAATGCTTTTTGAGGTTATGTACATTCCTACTTCCTATCAATATTACGTAAGCAAGATTAAGCAAGATTTTATAATAATTAAGATATATTAAGTATGTATTAGAATTATCAAGCAAAGATAAAAAGGGAAACATGATTTTGTAAAAATACGTTTTATTATAAAATGTGTATAAACAAAATTGTACAATTTCCAACGAAAGTAAAGTCCAGACACATTCCTGAAAAATTACCGCCTACTAGAAGATCGGGATCTTGACCTTCCTTGTTTTTTATGTTTTCTCCTATCTGTATAATCTCTCGACTTTTTATCTCTAATTTTTTCTTTATCCTTTTTCTTGTGTTTTTTGCTTGATCTTTCTGGCGAATAATCATGTTTCTTATGTTTTTTTGATTTTTTTGATTTCTTCAATTTATGAGAGTCATCACTGTTAGAGCTACTTCTTCGCTTTTTCGCTTTCTTCTCATGATCATTACCACTCTCATCCTCAGATTCAGTATATTTTTTTTGCTTTTTTGGTTTTCTGTCTGTTTTGTCATATTTGTCCTTATCATTACTGTTCTTTCTTTCATCATTACTTTTGTTATCATCTTCAGAATCATCAGATATTGACTTTTTTTTATTTGTTTTTTGTTTGAATTCCTTTGATTCTTTGTCCTTATATTCTTCATACTTCCTCACATCTAAAATTAACCCCATAAAATACTAAACGCTAAAACCTATACATTTATCATGATTCTTATAAAAATGAAAGAGACTTTTAAAAAATTATGCAGTTATATACAGAAACTCGTAAATTAGATTTTCTACGTATCTAATTTTATCCTTACATGAACATGTCATGTCAAGTTCGTTGTTCTTTTTTAAAAGTCTCTTAATAAAGAACTAATTATTCGTACTAACTTAAAACTTTTGAATTCTTCGAATATTCTGATTTAGTTACTGGTTGCACCATAAATTCGTTTACAGATATTGTATTTCCACCAAGAGCTAGTTTTATTATGAGTCTCCCTGCATCGTCATCGAATCCCTCTATTTGACCGTAATTGTTGCTCTGTTTCCCAGCTATAATTTTCACGTATGTTCCTTTCTCGATTTTAAGTTCTTCCTCTTGTTTCTTGGACTCTGTACTTTTCTTTTGTAGTGTTACTTTGTCTGCTCCAAGGCCCATTCCCTTTGGTCGTAATTCTGGTATAACAGCTGACACAACTCTGTAATAGTCGCAATAAAAAATTGTGAATTAAAAAAAGATTTTATTTCCCAATAAGTGGTATATTAAATGTAAAATTAATTTTGTCTAGAGTAAGATTCATACTTTTCATTTTTACCAATTCCTTTCCCTGGTTGCCATCCCATTCCTCGTAACATTGCTACACCAAAAGCATCAATTGGAATTCTTTCATAATCTTCTAATGTAGACTGAAAGATGAAAAAAATGAAACAATATTTATTTACATATATAATACATTTGTATACGGTATCTGTATATGGTAATAATGTACCTGCTCTTTGCCTTTTAAAGATTCATCTTCTACCAAAGGTAAAGACAAATCATTTACTTTAGTTTCCTGTTCATCTTTCGATTTGAGTTCCTCAATGATTTCTTGAGCCGCTTGCTCCTCTAAAGTAACAACTTTATTTTCATTATCCTCAATTATTTCTTTCTTTATTGATGTTTTTGGCGATGATTTTCCATTTGATAGTTTTGATTTTTCTCCCTCGTCACCAATTTCAATGTCTTCTGTCTTCTCCTTAGTTGTCTTAGACACAAAAATGTCTGCGTCTACTTTATTAACAATTCTATCATGCCAAGTCTTTGAACCTAACAATGGAATAACTAGAGGCTCATCTTTCTTTTCCTCTCCGCTATAAAAGATTGTTTTCAAAAATATTTATTTTACTTTACTTAGCAATTTTTATAGGTTAGGTTAAGGTTATGTATTTTCTATTCCTTGAACTTACCCTATTAATTTAATACTCTTTTCGTCGAGGCATTCAATATAATCAATTTTCTTTTCCTCTTGTGGAATAACATTTTTTAACACAGATTTCTTAATAGATTTTGCGAAACCGAAAGAAACCTTTTTCCCTTCTTCTGCCATTTATTACTACACACTGATTTATAGATCAATACGTATAAGGTATAAATACTAATTTATTAAAACTATGTACATTTACTTAATATCATACTTTATTATAATAATTTATAAATTACTGAAACATTCTTACGACAATATATCAAACGTCAGAATAAAACAACATTAGAGTCACTAACCTATAACGTTTGAACCAGGAGATCAATATTGTGTTCACATGAAGATGAGTGCAGCTCTTAATTTCTGTTCGAGCTGTTTTTTGATAGGCTTAATTTTCAAATGGAGAATTTTCAACGTAAAGCTTATATTAGAAGACGAACACGGATCATTTTGCATTTAAAAGAAATTTAAATGTACAGAATGTCCATAATATACCGAAAATATACGAAATATTCGAGACGGAGTACTTGGTAAAATACATATTTTATATTTAATTTTTATTTCTCGACAATCTATTAATCGTAAGTATAATGTTTTTGATTATATCAAATTTTATGTACCATAAATAGTGCATAAGTGCACTGTATTATGTATTATGTTTGTAATTTATTTAAAATCATTTTATTTTTAGATCACTTTCTATTCTGTATTTTTTTTTGCATCGTGCAAACTCCTATCGTAAACGAGGACTTCGTCTCTGTCAGTGATAATATTTTTAAACTATTAGTAGAAGAAACAAAATAGAAATTTTTTTTTTTCTGTAAGTGTAGTTGTCTATAATATAATTCAACCGTGAGCGATCAGGATATTTAATGCTAATTTTCGAATGCTCAAAATATAAAATTAATAAATAAATTAGTTAATAAATTAATAAATTAATTAATAAATTCGAATGCTCAAAATATAAAATTAATAAATAAATTAGTTAATAAATTAATTAATAAATAGTTACCACATAGTTAATAAATAGATAAGTTACCACCTCTCACCTCTCATTTTCTCTGTTTTCACTGTTTCGCGTCTCTGCAATTTTTAGAACAGTAATGTACAATAGTAACTATCCTTTATCATTGTATTGACGAAACGATAATACTGTTTGCTTGGAGATCTTTTTTACTGTTAATTTATGTATCGTTTAGTCTACAGAATTCTATCGCTAAATGTCCTACACACGGCAACGACACTGTCCCATTCCAGTGAACTTTGTTAAACAATCATCTTCAATCAGACGCAGATCGTAGAGGAAGTCATTTACTTGCTTATCTTTCGATGTAAGAACTACAGTTAAAAACAATGACCAATCGAGAACGGTAGTTAAGCCAGCTAGTAGAGGGGTGAGGCATGTTTTACCGGCGACAACAGCACACGGTATGCAGATACGAAGCCGGGGTAAACCGGGAAGCCGTAGTTCACGGGACTGTAGTAAACGTGATAACTCCGAACAGTCAACGACACTCGGAAGCCGCGTTCTAGAATTCAGGTAAAATCTACTTGCTCAATTTTTATTTAGAAATTTTTCTGTTTGTCAATTATCACACCGGTTACGGATTTTATATTTTGGGGGATCGATAGTTT